GTGGCTGTTCTATATGCAAGCATCAATGTCTTGAACTTGATTCGAGCCACAAATGGTAGCCAGTGCAAGGAGATAAAGAGAGGTGTAACATGCGCTCTTTGGGGCTCATTGAAGACCAGTTGTACCGCTGCATTCTGAATCATTTGTAGAGGTTTGATTGTGCTTGATGGAAGTCCAGCCAGAAGAGCATTGCAGTAGTCCAGCCTAGAAATGACAAGGGCCTGGACAAGAAGTTGTGCAGCATGCTCCGTTAGAAAGGGCCTGATCTTTCTGATGTTGTGCAATGCAAACCTGCAAGATCGAGCGGTCTTTGCAATGTGTTCTTTGAAGGTCAGCTGGTTATCAAAGGTTACACCAAGATTTCTGACCGAAGTTGATGGGGTAATTGTAGAAGAACCTAGCTGGATGGAGAAATCATACTGTAGAGTTGGAGTGGCAGGGAAGACAAGAAGCTCAGTCTTTGCCAGGTTGAGCTGTAGGTGATATGCTTTCATCCATGCCGAGATGTCCGCCAGGCAACCTGAGATCCGTGCAGCTACCGTTGGATCATCTGGTTGAAATGAAAGATAGAGCTGTGTGTCATCAGCATAGCAATGGTAGGAGAAGCCATGTGCCTGTATGATGGGACCCAGTGATGGTGGGTATATGGAGAAGAGGAAGGGTCCAAGAACTGATCCCTGAGGAACCCCAGTGACAAGTTGATGTGCTTTGGATACCTCCCCTCCCCAAGCCACCCTGAAAGACCTACCGGTGAGATAGGATATCGAAGTGGAATCCCTGTGATGCCCAATGAAGAGAGGGTAGACAGGAGGATCTGATGATTGACAGTGCCAAAAGCAGCAGATAGATCCAGCAGAATAAGAACTGATGATTTGGAATCAGCTTTTGCAATCCGCAAGGCTTCCGTGACTGACAGTAGCGCAGTCTCAGTTGAATGGCCACTCCTGAAACCTGACTGGTTAGCATCCAGTTTGTTGTTCTGTGAAAGATACAATGATATCTGGTTGAAAACAACTCTTTCGAGGGTTTTCGCTATGAATGGAAGGAGAGAGACAGGTCTGTAGCTATCTGTAAGTGAAGTATTTAATGTAGGTTTTTAAGAGGTTTAATGTTAGGTTTTCTTATTAAGCTTAAGAAGTTAACAGGGGATGTATAGCTTAATTAGGGAAATATGGATTATTAACATCCTCACCCTCTCCTGGTGACAGAACGGAGAGGGTGTTTGCATGCGTTACAAGTGTGCATGTAGTCAAGGTGGCTGGGATTGACTTTCATCTCTGGGAAAGTGAGTGAACTCGCCATCAAAAAGAGCCAGCTCATTTCAACCTGTAGTCAACATCACACTCTCACTCTCTTCGGCTGGGGTACTTATGCTCAAATAGATAGAGGTATTTATGTAGTACTGTATTTATGTGAATGTTACTGTGTGGCAGGGACCTGTATGAAAAGTACACGTGAATGGTCAGATGCACTTCTCCTTCAAAAATGTCTCAAGTGAACATTAACAGGCTGGATATGCATCAAAATATCTAATCTGTGCTTTAGGCTGACATTTTTATTCTAGACGTACTTCCCAGTAAAATTAGTTTGAATGTTTTATGTATTTTATGCTAATAAAGTAATTACTTGAAAAATGTGCATGCTGTTGTTTAAATTTAATTAGCTCATATTTGATATTAATAATGTATATAATATTTAACTTAATTTAAAAAGGTAATGTATTCAACAGCATATTAGTTGTAGACGTAATATTGAAAAGCCTACCAAGAATCTTGATATTTTCACAAACACTAACACTAAAAAATGAATTGATTTTAACGATAAAAGACTGTAAAAATGCTACTGTAAAAACCTGTTAACTGGTGAAGAGCATGTATCCTTACTGTATACAGTGAATAACTGTAATAGAGCTAACCTTACCTTATATTTAGAGTAATTTTACATTAAAATACTATAAATTGACATTCCCAGAAGTCCCTGTGTGACAGCTCACATTTGATGGATTTTCGATTAAGTAACTACATATGCTTCAGTTATGGAAGTTTCAGTTCTGGCAACCACAGCTACCGTATTTAGTTTTTTGTTTGTGTGTGTGTGCATGTAATTTTCTTTTTTTGAGTATACACTTGTGAGAAAAAAAGAAACAGTGATTCTAATTGATGTAAATGATGTTTTGTTAGTACATATTCTAAACAAAGGCAAGGATGAATCAGAACAAAACCCTCTTCATGATGACAAAGAGTAGCCTTTAAAAAAAAAGGCAAATTAGGTAAAAGTGAAATCTGAAAAAAGGTATAATACCTAAGGAGCAATGAGGTTAGTTAAAAGAGAATTCCGAGAGTACTGTAAGTGGATAGAAGCACTAATCATTCAGCACATAAGCTTTCTAAGTATATCTGCATCCCATTAACCTCAGCAAAGTTAAATGAGCTGGCTTACTAAGTACCAAAAATGGCATTAAGGGATTTTTCCCTGTTTACCTAAGACACATAAATTGTATTTCAATTTAAAGGATAGTCTATCCAAAAACAAAACTTTAGTTGTTTACTGTTTTGTTCTAAAGCTGTATGACTTATGTTCTGAGGACTGAAGCTTTTAAGCTTCAAAGAAGAATCATACCATGAAAGTAAATTATAAAAGATTTTTTTTAAAGATTTATTTGTGGTGTTTTTGCCTTTATTATGATAGGACAGACCAGAGCTGACAGGAAGTGAAGTGGGAGAGAGAGTGGGGTGGGTTCAGGAAATGTTCTCGAATTGGGATTCGAACTTGGGAGGTCTGTAGTGCAACAGCTCTGTATGTCTGCGCTATCGGCACTAGGGATGTAACGATTCACTCAACCCACGATTCGATTCGTGATTTTGATTTCACGATTCGATTCACAATTTTTTTTAACAAAATGAGATTTAAGACAAATTATAAATTAAATGTGTCCTTTTATAAGTGACGTGACATGTGGCCAAGTATGGCGACCTATACTTGGAATTAGTGCTCTGCATTTAACCCATCCAAAGTGCACACACACAGCAGTGAACACGCCCGGAGCAGTGGGCAGCCATTTTTTTTTGCTGTGGCGCCCGGGGAGCAGTTGGGGGTTCGGTGGGCACCTTGCTCAAGGGCACCTCAGTCGTGGTATTGAAGGTGGGATATGCGTTTCTTTGTGAAATTGAAATATAACACTATAATAATATAGTCTACTAATATAGCACTTGTAAATTATTGCTCTTTGTTGATTGCTTCTATTGTCCTAATTTGTAAGTCGCTTTGGATAAAAGCATTTGCTAAATAACAACATTTTTATATAATGTAAATGTAGATAACAAAACTAAATATAATTTTTTTAAAACAAGCCCCAAATCAAATAAATAAGTAACACAAATAAAATAAATCTCTTCATATAAACAAACTAAGGCTTTGTCTGTGCTCTTTACATTTAAAATTAGAGGCAACCACTGCATTTTAATCATGTTTCAAACAAAGATGCTGCATACATGCAACATGAGCAGTTTTTAATCTAAATTAGATTGTACAATTTCGAAATTTGAAGCAAAAACAGAATAGTTTGACTTCAGTTTTGTGAAACTATGCATAAACAATATCTGCATGAAACAAAAACAGCAGACGAGAGCTGAATTGAGACGCAGATTCACTCTCTGCCAGCAGGTGGCGCTTAAAGCATTTCCTTGGTTTCCGCTGTAAATAAAGCAGCGCTGCACTTATGAACTTTAATATGCATTATACAGAGGCAAGAGGAAAAGAAAAAATACCATCGAAAGACGGTAAGTTCCCCTCAGACATACATTCATATAAACTCCTACACCTAATTGAATCGCGATCTGTTTAGCATCTCAACCGATTTGAATCGTCACATATTTAAATCGATTTTCAACCGGCTCACGGTTAATCGTTACATCCCTAATCGGCACTGACAAATTATGACATAATTTAAATTTTTGTGTGAACTATTTGTTTTAAGAACATCCCCCGAAGTTCTGCTATCAATTTCATTTAAGAAATTCTGGTGTACATGTACGTTATTGCAATGCCTTATTATCTGCCATTTGAAACTAATTATGTTAGTATTAGTTCTGAATCTAAAATTACATTGTGAATGACATATTAGGATCTAAAAGAAAGTCCATCTGTAAACATGCACTACAGCATATGCAGCTATAATACATGAGTTGTTTGATAATAAAAACTGTCATGATTGTCTCATTACATTGTAAATGGATGATACATAATCATTAGGCGTATTAGGTTTTCATTGTGGGCCACCATCAGACGTGATTATCGATTGCAGCTGAAATGTCTGCCGTATATTGCGAACATGAGGAAATCAATAACCATATTCTGAACTTTCCAACAACAGTGACAGGCAGGATCTTGAAAAATATCACCCTGCTTCCACTCATATTTCTGTTACAGTTTGAGGACGGTGGAAATGAGACAAGCGATTTTAATCCATCAAGGGTGGGGACACAGAAAAAGATGCAGTGTTTTAAACATCTTTTTTGACAGTTAAATTGGTCCCATTTAGTTGCAGAAAAATGGAGGTAGCTATTATACCACTTTTACTAGATGTTGGATGCATCGAGGCCTTGCTGTACATCACAGGCAGTGCCACTTACGGTTTCCAACAAATGGCCTTTCACAAATGGCTGCTAAGAGCCTGGAATGTGTTCTAGCGGCAGAACATTAAACAACATGTGGGTCACTGCAATGAGTCTGCATCAGGACGACAACAGAATTAAAAACAAATGTCCGTTTTTGTGGAAGAAGCATCTTTGAATATCTTTTGGACGAAACCATGAAAGCATTTACAATAAAGCTAACTGGACTTACTTTCAACTATGACTTGTCTTCCAGACCAATCATCATTGATCATCTGAATATTCCCAAAATGGATGTCGCTGAAGAATATGCGGTTGTGGTGCGAGGCCTGCTGCCGATAATCGAATGCCAGAGCGATGACGTTCTTGAAGTAGTCTGGATTCTCAAAAGGTTGGAGAGGGGAGTTAAGATCGCTCTCGTCAGACAGGTGGATGCTTTTCAAGATGGTCCTTTCAGAGTACAGAAGATAGCCCTCATATCTTTGGCAAGCAAAGCCATCTTCGGCTAAGTACCCATGAGCACAGGAACAAGTCCTTCTTCCGCTGCCCAGGTGAAAACACAGCTGCTGACAACCTCCATTGCTTCTCGCACACGGGTTGGTGCCTGCATGCAAAAGCATAAAAAGATATCACTGGATGCACACTGAGATATTCAGAATGATTGGGCTTTGTTCAAAGAAAACATATGTGGCATAATAAAAATAAACTCATTAAGTTGAAACCTCAACCTTTCTCCCGGCCTTTGTTAAACACTTTCACGTCCTTCAGGTTGACGCCAAGACCACTTCTTATTGTGACGGTGTCGGTGGCATCGCTCTTGAATCCGCGCCGGATCGATCCATTGGCGTGGGCTCTGCCACGGATGGTACAGAAAAAGAGTCTGACATCAGCGTTATGGTGGCGGTTATTTAATTAAAAACAGCGAGACTCATTAAAACACAGGAAAGCTGTTTTAACTCTAAAGCCGAGAAAACGTCACCTTGGCGGTGACTTACGGTACACCCTATTTACATAAGGCCAACAGAGTCTGCCTGGGAGATGACAGAAACATACGGCAGGTCTCATAATAACCTTGCTCGGAAGGGGTTAATCCTTTGAGACTGGAGCAGCTTGCTCCGTGGGCTACTTTGGAGAGTGTAGCACTTAGTAAAGTAATAAATTACCTGTCAGACCAGTAGATGTAAGCCCCGAACACAGCCACGGAGAACAGGTCCACATTGGCGGCTGACAGGACAATCTCTCGGCCCTCCCCGGTTTCAAGGTTGATCCCTTCTATCTTGTCGGTCCGGGCATCGCACCAGTATAATCTATTTTCCTAGAAAGCAATTTGAAAATGCACATCAGCACCTCTCCCTTTGAGCAGCCCCATTTTATCAGCATCAGAAGAAAAGAGAGTGAGTGGAATATCAGGAAGTGGAACCAATTCGGCCTACCTCATAGTCGATGGTGATTCCATTCGGCCAGGCGATGCCAGAACTGACCAGGGTCACTTGGTCTGAACCGTCCAGTCGTGCACGACCTATGCAAGGATTCTTCCCCCACTCGGTCCAGAATAAATAACTGTTCATTGGAAAAATCAGATGCGGAATACTACTTTAACCATGCTAAATTCTACATTTCATAGTGAATTTAAAGGAATAAAGGACCTCAGTTGAAAATGAGAATTATGTCATCATTTATTCATTCTATGCAGAAACTCCAAGCTTCAAAAAGGATGCAAAAGTATCATAAAATGGTCCGTACGACTCATCATCATCAAATATATTTTGACATCAGCCCTAGAGCACATTGGCACGATCATTAGAGAAGTATGAATCATTGTTTTGAACTGAATCTTTTCAATTAATAATTTTATTTGATTTTTAACACTGGTTTACAACTTAACCATGCAAAATTGTAAAGTTCATCGCGACCAAAAGGAATTGAATTAAAAATTCTGTCATTGTTTATTCACTCTAATGCCATTCCAAACCCATACAACTTCAGAATTGAAGACCTCAAGCTTAAAAATGATGCAACAGCTTCACAAAAAGGGCACAATATGCCAAGTCTTCAAAATTAATTTTAACAAATTTTTGTTAGAGACAGTTTATCACTGAATATATCTTGATATTGGCCCTGGAGCACCTTGGCATGTTCACTAGAGAAGATGAATCATTGAATTAATAATGAATAGAATAGAACAGAATAGAATAGAATCGTTCAATTAATCATTTGATTTGATGCTTAAAACTTAACAAATCTCACTGATATGGTTCTCAATGATCAGGCTAATAATAGCACTGAGTCACATGAACAACTTTTATGATACTTTTTGCATCCTTTTTTAAGGTTGAAAGCTTTACTCATTCACTGTAAAACTGCAAGGAAAAGTGCTCCACAGAATAAGTCGAATGCTTTGGAACAAAATGATGGTGAGTAAAAGATGTCAGAGTTTTCATTTTTGGGTGAACTATTCCTTTATAACTGTTGTTACACCACCAAGGAAACGTCATTCAAAGTTTGACTCAACTGGAAAAGGAAAAGACAGCTTTCACAGCCAAAGGCTTGAATTGGAGGCTGTTTTTTGGATGTCTGGGATTTAGAGGATCCCACTCCTGATGCTGTCTGCTGTCAGCAGTTAGATGGTAGATGGGTTAAAGCGTTCATATGTCTAAAACTTGTCTTTTCGCTGTGTGATTCTGATTGCAGGTTGTAAACATCAAATTCAAGGCAAACAGACAAAACTGGCAAGATCGGAAACCATAAAGTTTGACCCTAATTACTGAAACAATACCATAATGGACTACAAAATGAGCCTGTGCCTAAATGGAGATGCATATCTGCTGGTTTTAAATTCTTAATTTGGTTCATTAGTGGAGGCCAAGACATTTTAAAGCCAGTTCTGTCAGCAAAACAGTCCAAGTCAGATCACAAAATTGATTTGACCTTCAAAGGTTTAAAATGCATTTTCATTTCTCTTCCAAGAGCTCATTGTATTATCCGGTCTAATGCACTTGCATATTTCCCTACAATTCACTCAGTAATTTCTAAAATGATTCTAAAGATTTATATTACTGAACTGCAGACATGGCTGAAACTGATCCGTACCCTCTCTGTGGATGCACTGCAATGGCTCTTGGCTGGTCCAGCCCTTCTGATATTACAACTGACCGGTAGAGACCATTCAGACGAGCAATTTCAATGAGGTTGAGGCCATGGTCTGTCCAGTAAAGGTTACCTGGTAAAATAAATAATTAAATAAATAAATAATAGATAGATAATTTTTTTTAAATTGCAATATTTCACAATATTACTGTTTTTAATATATTTTGTATTATACTATATTGTGCTGATTGACCAAATATATGCAGCCTTGGTAATAAAATAAAATAAAATAAAATAAAATAAAATAAAATAAAATAAAATAAAATAAAACATACATACATACTGGCCTTAAACATTTTTAATAGTAGTATATCTAAAGGCTAGAAATGCAAAGATTTTATTTGGATAATTTGTGACAGTGGTAAAAAATGACAGCATTCCATTTTTAAAATGATGTTTGTGTCTTACCAGCAATCCAATCGACTGCGATGCCCTCCACTCTGTTGATGCCAGTGGTGATAATGTCTTCCCTCCATGTCTGATCCCTCTTGGCTCTTGAGATCCGGTTTAATCCCATGTCTGTCCAGTAAATTGTATCATTGCCTGTATGAAGGAGGACATATGTCATAAAGAACAAAGCTTGCAACATAGATAGTGTATGAGAAAGCATCTCAGACCCTTTACATCAAAAAACAAGAGCAGAAATAAATGAAGCCATGTTAATGCCATGTTAATATCGAATGCTTTTTAGTAGTAACAATAACTAGAAACCAACAAGCATTTGGTAGAGAAAATACAAAACAAATTGTGTAGCAAACAAATCAAACATGATTAGCAATGACTAAAAGATTGCTTTGACAGAAGCACGCTCTAAATGTAACTGGTATTTTTGCCCTAAAAACTGAATGTGACAAGATTAGTTATTTATTTGCATCCTCCTGTTATTACTGAATTCACACTCGGCTAACGGATTTCTTACATGTGACAGCAGCCAGCTGGAAGGCCCTCATCTGTTTCATGCTCCAACAAGCTGCCTCTTAATAACATGCAAATGGTATGCATGTGTAATCAGCATAGGCTGAGCTGGACTGGGGTTTTCTTCACCTGAGATGAGCGGATTCTGGTGGTAGGTGAGAGCATTTGCATTGAAACTCTCTGACCATCTGCCTCTATTGCCCTGCTGCTGAGGACAGCAATTCTGCCATGTTTCCCAACCCACACAGCATGTGAAAAAATGACCTGTCCAGCTAATGATTTAAAGTTGCCAATTGAATATTATTTTATTAGTTTGGATGCACAAACCTCCATTCAGTGTAAGCAGATACAAAAGATGAAGTATAGGCTATATTACAAGGTAGTGATTTTCTTGCTAAATTATTATTTTTTTATTGACAACATATATGTTAGTATATAATAATTAATAACTAACATGGCGCACAATATTATAATATTTAATTCTATTTTAAAATATAAGTATAATAAGATTTTTTTTTCATTGAATGACTGCCCTTATTTGTATGGACCAATTAACATCATCGTCATCATCATCATCATTATTATTATTTTTTTTTATTATTATTATTATGATAAGTAGTAGCAGTAGTGCTATTTTAAGGACTCATTATCATTATCATCATTATTATTTTGAAAAGTAGTAGTATATTACTTTACCATATTGATCATTTAAATAACTAAATAAATAAATAAATACATAAAACATGATAAAAGATAATTAAAAGTTACTTGGTAAAAATAGAATCAATAATTTTTTTTTAAATGTATATATATATATATATATATATATATATATATTCAAATTGCAATAATATTGCACAATATTACAGTTCGAATTGTATTTAAATTGTATTGTATTATATTGTATTTATTTGCAAAATGTATGCATTCTTGGTGAACAAGACACTTTCAAATACATAAAAAAAGCTATTTTATTTGAGCTATTATCTAATTCAACACAATAATAGAGTACAAATATTTTAAAATGTTTATTAATATTCAGTTGTATTGATTGACAGCCATAATTATTATTAGTATTAGTGCTATTTTATTTGACCATATTGTTAATTTAAATAAACACACACACACACACACACACACACACACACATATATATATATAGTATATAGCCCAATCTGTGTAGTGTACTTATGTTTACATCAGCTCTAAACTGAATGGAAGGCTATATGCACTATTTTCAGCACAGTGTTTGTTGGTTGTTTGTTTACGGGAGTAGGAGTAGGAAAGGTCAAGTCACATATGAATGACTACAGCAGGTATTCTGTACTACTGCATATATATGTGTTTGCATGTTTATGGAAATGTCTCATATTATTGACTGTTATAATGCTAGTTTGGTACCATCACATGTGGACTGCCCCCTTGACGCTCACTTCATTTATGCCACTTGTCACCACAAAATGCTCCCCCGAAACAGGCTGAATAATCTTGCATCAGACCGCTGTCAAATTAACCTCATTCACAGAATGAATAATGCATAGTATGACAACAACCCCTCAACGCCATCAGCGTGGTGATGTCGGCTCTACTTTCATTTGCTAGATTATCTACTATACTGCTTTCTGTCTTTTAAAGTTGTAGCTATAAGAGATATAAAGAGAACATGTATCTGTTTGCACCTACTTGTTTAACCCATCTGAGCTGTTTATCTCTTCTACAAGTGATATGCAGTGTTGTTAATTTTCTTCTGATCTGGTAAGAGACTGTGCAGCTAATATGAGACTGTACATCTGACAGCAAACAACATTTAAAAAAAAAGTAATGCACAGAAAGCGATACATGCCTTATCTTTGTTGTGCACACAGAGAGGATTCAGAGAGCGGTTCCATACACTAGTGAACACACTGGAAGTTAGCAGGACTGAGTCATGGGAAGAGCCGTGTTTGTACCTGCATGAAAGTCCACGCCAACGGCAAACAAGGTGCCGCTGATGGGCATCAGGGTCTCGGCGTGGTCACCAGGATCCAGAGCGATTCCACGTATCCCCTCATGAAAAGAGTACATCAGAAAAGAACTCAGGCCTGTGATAGACAACAGCAAGCGAGAGATGTTAGATGAAGGTCAAATGAATGTGTCACAGATTTCTTTGGGCACCTTCCACATAACAAAACAAGCAGCTAATCCAAAGACAACATGAATTCCTTTTAGAAGGGAAGAAAAAACCTACCTTCACAGGAGAGACGGTCACTGCGCAGGTTGTAGCCAATGGTGCAGGCACATGTGCGTGTGTTTTCAGATGTGGGCAGACAGAGCTGCGAGCAACCGCCGTTATTCAACTGACAGGCATTCCTACCTGAGAGAAACCATGATAAAAGGAGAAAACATGTTGATCTCATCTTGTCGAGAGAACTGCTGACTGTAGCTTTTGGGATTCGCTTATACATTGTTGCAAGATAATAATTCCAAACAGTTCTGAAAGCATAAGTTTGCGATGAGTAAAATATGTAATTTCAGATTTACTAGTGCATCCAAATTAAACTGCAAAAATAATGACTTTTTTCATACATTTCCTGAACCCCCTTGTATCCCATTGTTTACTGTTTGACCCATTTATACAGTATGAGAAAATATGAAGGACTCTAAAATTAAACTAAATATACTGTATATAGTCCTTATGCCAAAGCCAAAGCAAATTATTAAAATATCTGGAAAATAATTAAGTTGACACTGCAGCTTATTTTATACTCAATGGTAATGTGTAAACATTTTTTAAAAGTCTCTCATGCTCAGCCAGGCTGTGTTCATTTGATCAGAAATACAGTAATATTGTGAAATATTATTATAATGTAAAATAATAATAAAATATTTTAATACCAAAGCTAAATTTCTTTCATATATAACTTCTCTAATTTATTACAAAGCAGTTTTACAGAGAATATTGTCATACAAAATCCAATTTCTACTGATAAAAACTAGGACTGTCAATGGGGGGGTCATTTTCAATATCATTAAAAAGCAGAATGAAATCATAATAATATTGAATTTGATGTTAACATATTAAAATCTTAAGTAAAAAAAAAAAAACTCAATCAAAACTCAGAAAAAAAACTGATAATTTCATTATGCTTTTAGCTATCAATAAAAGTATTCTGAGGTCTGTTTAACTTATTTCATTATGTTTAAATCCATTCCATAAAATTCTGCAGATCCCCCCCCCCCCCCCCCCCAAATTAGCAGATAACAAAAAAACTACTTATGAGTCATAAAAGCAAAGCTGAAGCATTAGACTAATTTGAGACAGTTTCTGAGTTATGTCATTTATGCTTTTATATGAAAGCAATTCCTTAACAAGTTCGGCCGCAATGCAATGGTCATAAATTTGGAATATCTCCTCATTTGATGAAAGGTATTAGTGTTGCTGTCAAGTCAAGATGACTTGACATTCTTCCTGGAAGTCTTACTCTCATCCTAATTGTATAACTGAAAGTGAAGGGGAGGGAAACTGCGCCACTGTGTATTAGCACAAGCTCTCAGGGAAAGCTCAGCTTGCACATCTACGACAGTAATAAGACCGCTCCGCATTATGAATAGAGAGGCTAATTGCTGCCGGAGAAATTTGGTGGCTGGATAGATTTACGTTTGTGCCCGTTTAATGGTCATTCCTTATTCAAGTCGACATTTTAGTTTGAATCCAGAGCAATGCCGTTAATGGATCTGCCATTAGTGTGAATTATTTGCAGAATAACTCACAAACTGGAAAACCAATATCTGAATATATCTCTGCTTACACACAGGGAAGATAAGCTTGTGATATTAGGTAAAAAAAAGGTAGAAAACAAAACAGTTGACTCATTAAGAGCTATTTACAAGTAAATTAAACAACACAGTATAATGCTTAAAATTTATGGTCTTGTTTATTTCAGCACATTTATTTTTATACGCTACTTTAAGACTCTACAAAATCAAAATTAGTTTTGTGGCTTTTAGTCCATGTCTATTAACTTTAAGGCCAATTTATATGCTTGTGCAGTCCTAATCAAGGAAAACTGAGCAAAAATATTTGTCCAATAAATGCTCTCAAGAATGATCATTTACAGTAGGGGTGGAATGGTTCAACTTACTGGCGGTTCGGTTTGTATCACGGTTTTAGAGTCACGGTTTCGGTACGGTTTGGTATGTGCCATGTTTAGGCAAAAACTATATTGTCAAATGAAAATAAATATAATCTAACTACAAGCAACAGCACAAATAATTAAAATAGAGTAAAGATGGTCCTAGCGCGCGTCGAACCGTGTGTGGAGAACCGTATTATTCGTTTTTTTTCCGCGAAACGTTCCACCCCTAATTTACAGTAATATAAAGTAGCTAAATCATGGTACTTGGCAGTGTTATTTTAGCATCATTGAGATTATATATGTTTTTAATTATTTAAATTAGTGTTTATTTTTTTTCATTTTTTATTTCATTTTATTGAAATTTAAGTTATACAGTTTGAGTATTATTGTTGTGTCTTTTTAAAATATGTCTACATAGCTATTAATTTACAATTTATTTTTTCTTATTCATTTTTTATTTTAGATTTAGCTAATTTAGTACATCAAGTTAAATGAGAAAATGAGAAATGGTGCAACTAGAAGGTTATTTATTTATTTGTTTAATATTTAGTTCCATTTCAGTTGAATTTTATTTTATTATTTCAAGAAACATTTTTTAAAGGTTTTAGTTTTAGTTAACTACCATGCAAATAACTGTGATTTAACTAAAGCACACTGGCTACTTAAAAACGCAAACTCTTTGATATGTCCTGCCCAAACTTCCTGTTCTTTTGGGAAACATGTCAACACTGAAAGAAATCCCACAGCTCTAAAAAGACGTTAAACTTCAGTTATCCGTTTCAAAGACAATGACTGGTCAAGCTATTTTTGCAACAACCTTGACTGTATCTCAACGCACCTTTCTGACCATCTCTGTCATACACCTTCATGTGTACCACTCCGCTGGTCTTATTGCGCAGCACTGCCGGGTTACGTCCATCTCGTTTGGCTACCGTTCCCAGCTGAGCCAGATCGTCATCAGCCCACCACAGCTTGCCACCTGGAAAAACAGATGAATTATTCATTTCCCAAAGTCACAGAACCAGCAGGTCTGGCTGCCAATGGAGGCACATGCCATTATCGTTTGTTTGTCCCTTTTATACCACATGCATATAATCCGGTGGTGTGCTGTGCTTTTTCGATGCCAAAACTATGCTACGCCACAGTGTACGGGTGGGCAAGGGAGGTGGTGGGAGAAAGTGAGCGAGTAAAGTAAAGAGATAGGACTTGAGCATTATGCATGTTCCCTTCCCAGTGTGAGTCAATGAGGCAAAGCTCAGGGCGGCCTGGCTACGTGCCCTGGCTGAAGACAAGGACTCTTCATTCACAAAGCCATCAGAGTGCATCTATTCTCACAGTGGCGCTGTGGCTAGCAAGCCCCTCGTGTTGTTTCCGCTCTGTAAGGCTGAGTGTGCCACAAAGGGCCTCAGAGATTGTCCTTGGCTCTGAGCCTAGACCATATCTCTTTGCTGCAGGAATACAGGAGAGCCGGAGACAGTCGTAGCCGTGCAACCGTAAAATTAAACACATATTTGTATTTGTTAAAATATAGAGGCATTCAATGAACCGAATGGCATTGAATGCATTGGATGAAAGAAGTTAATCAACAAAATCACAGTTTCAACCAAAATACCACATACTGCTATGTGATTGCTACAATAAAACTGTACTCACTTTGGATTAGCAACTTAAAAATAACATTACAAGATTTTTTTATGGTTGATGGACATTCCAACAAGTTATTAGGTTTTACAATAGTAACTGTAGTAATGTCTCGGTTACATATGGTAACCCTCGTTCCCTGAAGGAGGGAACGGAGACGTCACGTCGGATGACCGACGAAATTGGGATCTCGCTTAGAGAGACCAATCTACTTCGAGTGTAATCTAAACGAGCCAATGCACATTGGCATGCGATTATTGCATCCAGCTGCCGCTGATCACAGCGTGAGTATAAGTAGGCAGCAGATGCAGTGCATATTCAGGTTTTCGCTGAGGAG